AAAGTTTGTAAAATCAAGGAATATTTATATATCCTAAAAACTATTAGATATAAGCCATTTCATTATAATCTGAATATATTCTAATTTTATTATAATTCTTATAATTGAAATAATAAAGTTTAAAAACTCAATTTTATTTATATAAAAAATGTATTTCTTTAAATTTTGTATAGAATTTATATTTAATAAAATATTTAAGAATTCTTTGAATATTTGTTATATATATAATCTTATTCTTTAAATAAATCAGGATATTATTTAAATATACTATATAAATATTATTTATTAAATTTATTAACACTTAATTAATATATATATTTGAAATATTATTAAAATATTGATAAAACTAAATAATATTATTTTATATTTATATTAATTATATTATATATAAAACACTATTTTCCATTTGTTTTCCATTTATATATAAATATAGTAATATATATTTTTTAACTCTAATTTTATAAAAATAATATTTTATTATAATTAATCTAAGAATTTATTAATAAAGAATAATAAAATTCTATTTTTCTTTATAATTTAATTTAATTTGCAATAATTAATATATAATTAATAATCTCTTCCCTTTTTAAATATAAATATAATTAAAGTATTTATTAAATTAATCGATCTTTTAATTTACTCTTTTTTTTGATATTTTTTAAAATATTCCTATAATATTAGGAATTTCTTTTTTAATAAGAAATAGATAAAATTCTAAAAAGAAATTGAATTGGATTTGAGATTAATATAATATTTTATTGAATAATAATTGAATAAAAAACTATTTTTGTTTTTTGAAAATATTATTTTATATTTTTAATATAAATACTATATAATTCTATATCTTTAATTGATAAGGTATATTATTATTTGAGAATTTTATAAAGATTCAATTGTTTTATTTTATTTTTTTATAAAATTCTTTATTGAAATTATTTCAAGATTATTAAAATTAGAATAATATTAAAAAGATATTGATTTCTAATTAATATTTGCGTTTACTATTTATAATCAAAATAGATTTAAAATAATATTTATTTTTGATAAGTTTAATATAATAAAGGTAAAATTATAAGTATAAATCCTCTTTTTTTTTTTTTTTCTTTTTTTTTATAATAAATTTGTAATCTCTATATAAAATAATAGTAATATTATTTATAAATATAAATAAAATATCTTTTTTATTTAATATCCAATCCTATTTTATATATTTGCTTTATTGAATAATATTAGCTTATATTCCTAAATCAATAAGATATTAAAGAGTCATTAGCTTTTTATTTATATTGAAAAACACAATAATTATATAAATTGCTTTTTCTTCTTTTTGTAGATTTAGTATTAGAGGAATACTTACTATAATAACTAGATTTAAATATTTTCTGAATAAAGAGTATTATATATATTATTTAGATAAATAGAATCTTTATATTTTTCTTTATAATATCTATATATAATAGAATTTTGATATATAATAATATAATATCCTTTTTACTAAAATTTAAAGTAAACAATATTTCGGATATAATCTATATATAATATTTTAATAAAAGGCTTTTCCAATTTAATTATTAAGTCTTTTATTAATTAATTTGATTCTCAATTTTAAAAAGCAATATTTATGAATATATTATTTTATATATAAAAATACTTTAAAGGGAAATCTAATTATAAAAGGGAATGAGTATATTTACATACTTATTGTAATTCCCTAGCATCTCTATTTTGATATAATTTATCAACGTTTTCCAACCTGCGGGCGTGCTTAATGAGTTCGAGGCGAGATTCAGGTTGTTGGGGTGATAACTCTGGGAGTTGCATGCATTATAACTGCGGGGCTATCGTGATTGACCAGGGTGGTTGCATATAATAGATAATTCATTATTACTTTATGAGCTTTTCTTATAGCAGCTATTTCTCCTTTCATTTCTTGGAATTATTGAATTAATAATAGATTCTTATTATCAGAAGATTATTGTAATTAAATCACTTATATATCAATATTGATTTTCTTAAAAAATCGATTAGTATTCCTATCTAATTGATTTAGGGTTATATTATACAAATCATAATCTTTAGATATTTTTCTTATAGAAACTATATTGATATTGATAGTTTTTCAATAAATACTAATTAATGGATTATTTTATTAAAAAATAAAAAGAATTATTAAAATAGATATTAATAATAAATTAATTAAGTGAAATATAATATAAAGACTTTTTATTAATTCTTCTAAACTTATAAAAACTATATAATTTATATGTATATATAGGCTTCTTTCGACACATAATAGGCCTGAGGGCTTACTATTATATGCCTAATGGAGCCCTTTAGTCCATGACCGTGACAAAAAGAATAAAGCTTTTGATTTTATATATATATTAGAAAGAAAATATAGAAAAGCTAAATAAATGTTTTGGGATTGTTTTTCAGATAAATCAGGTAAAGGATTAGATATATTTTGAAAAAAGGATTAAGGTTTTATTAATATTGAATCTTATTAAGTATATATAATACTTATTATATATGATTAAATAAAATTGAATCTAGATTATATATTTATATAAAATAATATATTAGATTATTCTATAAAAACTATTATTCAAGTTTTTTTTAAAAAAAGGATTAAAAAGATAAATTAGCTTTTCTTTTCTTTTAATCTTAATTTTATTAAGAACATATAAAATTAAATAAAAAAATGAATATGAAATTATTATTTTATTAATAAAATAAATTATAATATATTTAAAAAGATTATAAGAGAGATTTAGAAAATAATATTAAAAGATTATTTAATAAAATTACTTAGAATTACAAAAAAGTATTATAAGGCAGTAATTATAGCAAATAGAATATATACAAGATTTTAGTATAACTTAATATATTTAGATATTTCTTTATAATATTTTGGTATATTGAAATTTATTATATTAATTTTCAAAGAATATAATATTTTGATCAATTAAAGCCCTCATATATGGGGAAAAGCACGGCCGCTTTTTGGTGTGTTTTACAATACTTACCCTTACAACCATTGTAGGTAGGCTTTGACACCGACTTACTACTCCACGCATTGTTGACATACTCCTCGAGTTGTGTTTATGAACAATTTCAAATACCATCACATATAAAACGAATGCACTTGTTTCCAAGCCAACAACTTTCCTTGCTTCTTTTGTAGCTGTCGCTTTCTTTTTTTCCTTTTGTCTCTGTGTTAGGATCTTCAAGATCATTGATCAGTTTATTAATTTCGTCCTAGCCAGTGACCTTTCTGTGAGGGGAGGGGTGGCTTGCGGAGGATTCATCAACATCCAATTCATCCATGATATCAGATTCACAGTGCTGTTGTTCACTGTACCACACCCGAGGAAAGCAAAAACGAACTACGATCGAAGAACGGGTCATTTTGCACAATTATATCACCGGTTTTGGCTTTCCCAATCAATGCACTTTTGTTTCTAGATTTACCATCAGTGCAAGCTTTCCAGCAAGCAGCCATGGCCAGATAGATACCTCCCAACAAACTTAACGGATTCGCACAAAGCCTGGAGGAAGATAAAGAATGGTGGGGACTTACGGTTCATAGCACTGGTGGTTATCTAATACCACAATTTCCCAAGTGTTTTGTCGACAAGTTCCATGAGCACTTCCAATTGTACCTTGAAACATTTTTGTTCAACCCACGCAATCACAAAACTACATGATACTACAAACCGTCTCAGTGTCGAATATAATTGAGAGAAGTCTGTATTGACGTTACAGATGACGATCGAAAATCGTTTATCAACAGATCAAGGCTCTACCATTTCCGCCCTCAATCTCGTACATTTACAAATCTTTTGCTGCAGCAAGTTTTCATCTTGTGCTGAATTCACCTCACTTCTCTAGCCAAGTCTCCAGAATTTGTGTTAGAATGTTTCTCTCTCTGCTCTTTTATTCACTTCCATACCTCTACATCATGTCAATCTAGTCTCGGTCATAGTTCCTTTCAGTAGGTCATAAGAGTTATGAATTCACATAAGTAGAATGATGATATTGGGATAGCTGAGTACGAAATATAGGTTTAGGAACAGGAACAAAATGATGAGAATGATTTCGAGGACCTCAGCGACGCAACTCAAGAATTTATCGGTGGGATTCGGAGAATAATGAGGCTTCAAGGAGAGCTTGGGCAGGCAATGCTTCAGAATATAGATTTCGAGTAATTAGTCATCGATGGCTTAAAATGTAGAACCTAGTCAATCAGGAGAGCCGTGGTCTGGTGGTGTTGCATCAAATATATGATCAAAAAGACCAAGCAGATAATGTGAATGAATTGGACAATCATACTGAAGATGACATGTGAAGCTCATAGTCTAGATGATTGGATAAAGAACCATCTTTTAGAAGACATGCCAACTGTTCCAGAAACATTCCTAGATCCAGACGACTTTAATTATCATTTTCAGTTGTATTTTTGATGCGCATTTCGCAAGAGGCAAAAATCCTCGAATGTAAAAACCGCGAGTAACAGATAGTAGGCTCGAACAGCATCTCATCCCTACTGGAGAAGCAAACTAGCCCTCGTACATGTTTCGACAGCATTTGGAGATAACACATGTACACAGCCACTAGAAAATGAGGCTTCTCAATTTGACTACAATAAAGTTATGGATCAAGTAACTAGGATGTTGAGAGCGTACAACATTTCATGAATCCACATACCTACTTTTATACCAGCACCTCTTTCATCTGTCTAGATTACTTCACTTGAATTGAGGATCGATTCATTCATCAACATAGCATCATAGCAATCAAATCTGTACTTTCGGTCCAAAATTGTTAAAAATTCAATTCGCTTGCTGTTGTGGTATCCAAGACGATGACCAAAATTCGCGGCTCAAAGCCTTTCCCAAGACGAGCCAATGTGTAACGCCTGACTTTGATTTTCTTACCAATCCAAATTTAACCGCCCTTGACCACAATATGCTTTCCATCAACCCAAATTACGCTGTGGTCTAAACTTCGAGTTTCTTCTCTTGTTCAATAGGGGTGGCCATCTCATCAGCCCAATCGCCAGCTCCGACCAGTGGAGAAATGACACCTGATGTCGCATTTTTGGATGCTGAGGTTGGTGGTAATGATGGGAAATCCTCCGGCGCGGGTACAGTTTGAATTTGCTGTGCTGAACCACCTCTTCCCCCTCTACCATTACCCCTACCTCTTCCTCTTCCACGCCCATTTCCCCGTCCTCTATTCTCATCATAAATGTACGCAGACATATCATCTTCTGGGGTATCGTTAAACCTACTACTAGCCAAACCACCTCTCCCTCCAATTACTCCACCATGACCACCCCTAACATATTGTGAGCTCCTTCCCTTATTATCCTCGAACTCCTTTTCATCCTTGCCCTCATCCCATTCCCTACCACCCATAGCCTTTAACTTTCTCTCTCTATTTTTCATTCTCTCGCCTTCCATTACTTTACCCCTTTCAATTTCCTCTTTTCTCTTGCGCTTCTCTTCTTTCTCCTTTGCAGCATAGCCTTCCCTATCTTTCTCACTCTTTCTGAAAGATTCTGCCTTTTCTGCATTTATTATCTTCATTCGCTCGAGCTTCGCTGTCAATTCTTCTTCGGTCAACTTCTTGTGCGATGGACCGCCAGTTAAAGAACGATCACCACGAACGGAAGGTGTGGGCTTTGGTTGAGTTTGTGGTTGCGCTTCAGTAGGAGATTGTAGAGGAGGAGAGTTCGAAGGCGCAGCAACTGGAACTTGTTCGACAGATTGAGGTTGAATGGCGACAGGCTCTGGTTCTTGAGTCGCATATCTCGATGATTTCAAACCATTATTCGGCGCACCACCTCGACCTCTTCCACCTCGTCTTCTATCCGCGCCACGTTCCCTCTGATTTTTGTTGTTGTTATGATGGTTGTTATTTGAAGGTCCAGTAGGTAAGGATTGTGCGCCATTGCTATGTACATATGTTTCTGCAGTTGGTGAGAGTTTGGAAACAGATTGAATTGGTGCCTCTTCTATAACTGTAGGCTCAGATGCAGGTTCGAACTCGTCGGCGAAAAGATCATCATCTCCTCTTGATTGCGCGAATTCATCCATGCTGAGTATGAATGAACTGGTGGGGTAAGTGGAAGAAGGTAGACTTGTTGAGTTCTTTGTAGAGTGCTTGCAAAGGAGGAACCAGCTATTTAAGTGTATCGCACTGTGAATTTCGAATTGAATTATCGGTTGTATATCTAATTTTGGAGAATTATTGGTGGTGAATAGCACAACAACCTTGAAGTTATTAGGTGAGTTTTCATGAGAAGGTGGGAGGACCGGCTAAATGTCGGCAAGTGGATTATGTAATAATACTCCATGATGACATTGATGACGACAAGTTGTGGATGGCCAATGCTATGAAAATCATAAAACGAAATATTTACTGCATGTACCCAGTTTCAATCCTACATCGAGTCGAAGGACGTCTTTAGTTTGACTAATTCAAAGAAACTTAAGTCTTTTTAGGGGAAGCCCTCTATTAATTTTTATTACTTACTAGATAGGCTTCCCTGTTCATCAAAAGGTAGACCAAGAAATGTGATGGAGCATCCTACGTGTTGATGATTTTACTCGCCTATAATCTTTGGATGAAAGTGTTTCAGTAAATTAGATATCTACGGAATACTCAGCAGTCGCAAATTGGATCACCACCTCAGAGTTGGTGACTCGATGGTCATCTTAAGCAGAGCCGAAGACATGGCATGAAGCGAATTCGAGACTAAGAGGGATTCATTCCTTCACACAATAGCATAGTAAACACAGAAATTTGTAGAGATAGAAAATATCGAATTATCAGCAAGATAAAATATACACTGAGGAAACATTCGTACCGAATTGAGAATACCATCACTCATGTATAGCTCAAAATATAGTAACCAACAATTGAAAAAAGCCATAGCTCAAAAATATACCTAAAATAGTTATTTCTCAACCTTTTCAATAATATATAATTATTTATTAAAAGTATTTGAATAAGTTATCTGAAATATTTTTTAATAAAAGAAATTTAGTAATTGTTTGATATGAAATATATTAATTATTCTTAAAATTTTACTTTATCTTGAATTTATAGTTTAAAATTGAAGCTTTTCAAAAAAATAAAAATAAAATAAATTAAGTAATAAAATTGTTATAAAGAGGAATTTTTGAATTCGATCAATTTTTATTGATTGAATTAATATAAATTAATTTTTAAAAATAATTTGTTCAATTTTAATTAATATATGCTACGAGCATCGATATAGAATCGGCATCGAGCCGATATTATTTCGATACTAAAGAATTTTCATATATATATAGCTTCAAAAAGAGATTTTAAAGAAATCAATAAAAAGTCTTATTTTAAGTCTACACCTATATTTATATTAGTTATCACCTTATATTCACTCTAATAATTCTTTTTATTCAATCTTTTTAGAATAAGCTAATAACTAGTTTTTGAGAATAGCTTCGAAAGCTTTAAAGATAGTTCTTTCGAAGATCTCATTTCAATTAAACTACAATATATCTACGATACGCTTGTAATATATAATTGATATTATTTATATTAAGATAATCTCAATTTCCTTTATTTAAATCGAATTAAAAGAAAGTTAAGAAAAAGAAAATGTTTTTATAATATAAATTCTTTAGAATATTTATAAGGCATTTTTGCAATATACCTTCTGTATTCTTTTGAAATTATCGTAGGTCATAGGCTAGTAGTATTATATGGAAGCTAGCTCGATTTAACAACTAAAATGGATTATATAAACAGTATAGCACGTGATATTAAAGAATCTATATATTGATATTCAATTTCTTATTTTACATTCAATGAGGAAAAGGCCTTATTTTATGCTTTTTCCTACTAATCTAGCTTTTCCGCTTTCGTTAATCTTTTGCAGATCTCTTCCTAATCCGGCCATTCTTTCGAAATAAAGCTCTTTTTCTTATTCTTTATTTCGTAGTCTGTTTTCGGATTTATGTCCGTTTTCGAAAGCTTATAATCGACGATCATGTGATTTGATTATATAATACGCTCATATTAGGTTGAATGCTTTCAAAAGATATATATATATTATATTATTTTTATTAAAACAATAGAAATAAAATAAAATAATTAAATAAAAAGGAAAAGAAAAGAATATTAGAAAAAAGAAGAGGATTCTTTTGAGAAAACGAACTCTATTCTAAACAATATCTGCAAGATACTAATAGTACTCTTATTATTTTATAAATCCTATTAGAAAAACAGAACCCCTTTATAATACCTCAGAAATCTTTTATATAAAAAAAGACCTAATTAGTTATTCTATAAATAATTAGATTCACTAATTAAAGCTGATTACAAACAATTGATATTATATTAAATAGCTTATACCTAATCAAAAACAAAATAATATTTGCTAAAGTCGTTTATTTTATAATAAATGTAAATAGACTATTTTCAGGATTTCCTTTAGGTTTTAAGAATCCAATAAGAAGCTAATAGAATTCCATATTTTTCAATTATTTTCAGAATTTTCAGGATTTCAGATTTTAAGTATATTTATTTAGTTAATGTCACGCTAAAAGTGACGCCACCTATAGCCTTAGGCTAATTGGGTTTATATAGGCTTAATTCTCTCGTGACAGTTAATTTATAAAATTCTATTATTTTTTTAGAGTTTCTAGGTTTTTGAATACTATATATTAGCGAACTATTATCGAATTCTAATTTTATAGATTTTATAGATTTTCGGAGATTTAGTAGGAAGCTAATAAAGCTTTATTATTTCAAGATTTTCCGGATTTTCTGGATTTTCTGGATTTTTAGGTTTTTTATAATATTCCGAATTTTCATTATTTTTAGGATTTTTAGGATTTCGAATATTATATAATAACGAAATACTATTGAAGTTTTAATATTATAAGTTTTATATATTTTCAGAATAAATAAGTTTTTGAAATTGAAAGTTGAAAAAAGAAAAACAAAATCCTATTGAATATAAATTATTATTCTATCAAATCGATTTCTTTCTTTCAAATTTTTCGAAAATTTTAAGAGTTTCAAATTTCGAATTATAGATTGGATTATTCCTAATATTCTTATATTACAATATAGCTTTTTTCGAAAACTATAAAGAAATTGAATCTTATAAAATGAGAATATAAGTATTATATAATTAATTCTTACTATAGGATTTAATAAAACTTCGAAAATATATCGATATAATAGTAATTGATTATCGAATAATTTTGAAAAGCTTTTGAAAATGAAAATTTAAAAAGAAGGATGTTATTACAAGCATTAATATAAAACCAGTATCAAATCAATATTATTCCGATACTAAAGAATTTTCATATATATATAACTTCAAAAAGAGGTTTTAAAGAAATCAATGAAAAGTCTTATTCTAGGCCTACACCTATATTCGTATTAGTCGTCACCTTGTACTCACTCTAATAATATAAATTATAATATTATTATTGGAAAACACGTGATAAGACATATGATGTGGCACGTACACCACACACATAAAAGGTTTTACGTGTAGATTCTACTTCAATAATACACTAAGAATATATACTACAATTCAATACATTATATCATATACGTAACTTACTGTCTATTTCTAACAATTATATTAAAATCTTTTAATAATTGATTTAAGAATTTCTAGAATATATGAATTTAAAAAGAATAAAAAATGAATATTTTTAATATGTTTTTTGATTTCGACTTATTTCAATTGTCTAGTACTGTATAATCGAATCAGCTGAGCTTCAATATTTACATACGTCTATATATTTAGAGCATTGATCTAGGATTGATACGAAAAGCCCTCACATCTTGTTACAACAAACTCACCCACGAAAAAGCAGCAAAAGTTAGACTGCAATATCTCTAATTATCAATAGTTTATTTCAAATCCGAGTTGCAGAGACAACATACACATTGAAAGGTCTAATGCCAAACTGCAACGATACCTCAAATCTGATAACTTCTAGAGGTTCACTTGAAACATTCGACATCTCCACATTCATTCTATCAGCATTCACCTCTCAAAATCGATGTGACACTAACTCAGTACTGTCATCCGCTCTTGCTAGTAACAGAAATACCCGGTCAGTGTTCGATGACAACATGAGCCCCGCGACAAATTTCGCATCAACAAATGGATTTTAGATTTTGTCGTGAAGTTTAGCATAGACCGCCAAGGCGTGTAAGTAGCTATCGATGATTTCCATGGATTTGTGGACCAGGACCAGATTCTAGATACCCCATGAGGATTAAGTGGTTTCTGTACGCTCATAACTTTCAAACTTATGATGATAGTGAAATGATACTTCTTGTTTAATTGGATTTGACTGGGCTCAACTTCGTCAGGAGCACTTTGGTGGGAGAACAGTCCACAGGTGATAGAGCGGTTGCTTTCCACAAACTGAGTTGCAATCACATCTATAGCAACATTATAGAGATGTCGCCTTTGCTAGAATGCGTATGGAATCTTGATCCGGGTCCACGGAAGGCGGGTAATCATGTTGGTTAGAGCCCACTCCACCGGAATAAGTGCTGAACCCTGGGCCATAACAGCAAGGCCTCGGTTAATAGTGGGGGTTTTATTAAGCGAAGTGTTTTGAAGTCAGATCAGCCAATCGACTCTGATTAGATGTCGAAGTACATGAATTAGCATGGCAATCGTCTTTTTAATCGAGGAATGGTTGAAGCATATATACTTCGAGCCTTTTCACTCCAGCAAACATATGAAGCCGTAAGTCTGAGTAAAAAGCGACGAATCCTATACCTTCATGACTCCGTTGAATGATGGGTTCTTTTTGTGTAATATTTGTAAATTTCTACCATACACAAGGAATCCCCAGTAAATCCAGGTAATTTGTGTCCAGCAATACTACACTCGAAACCCCAAGATAGTATTCTTGTCATCAAAGGATGCGTTGGGAAATGTTGAAAGTTCCCATATTCAAATCAAAAACGAAACAATCGCATCTACTCTTTGTATTGCATTGCAGTCCCTCGTTTGATTACCACAATAAACATGCAACAAATCTCCTTTCAGAGGATCTATTGGGGGTTTGAGATACATTGGTACCTCCATGTTCACCAAGAGCCTTTTTAGCAGCCAGCACTTGGAGACTATCAAGTGAAAAGGTCTCATGACAAAATCACTGATATCATCAAGGAATAATCTTCTGCTGGTAAGAATTAGTACCGGTCCAGTTTTTGATTGAAGAAAGAGGTTGCCAAAAATGTATCATTTGTATGAGGGTTGATTTGGTAGAAGTGAAGGTGGAAGCACAAATACTTCGAAGTGAGCAACGACTGAGATTAAATCAGATTTCAGGTTCAAATGAAATGACTTTTGCCACCCATCGTTTTTCTTATTATCTGATGGAATGAATGTAACAGCCGGGCTCATAAATGTAGATGAGAGGTTGTAGTGCCCAAAGAATTTTGGATTATGAGATCACGGGCTACGGAATATCATTCTACCGGACACCGACCGATTCCATTTTCAGCGCTAGGAATTTTATCAATTCACCATCATATCGCCATCGATTGAAGAAAAAAAAAGGTTGAACAATAATCAACCAGTAACGACCATTTATAACTCCGACCAGTCGCAATCATCTCAATCTATCGGTGCTCATACTTCGAATCCAACGCTCATCTGCCACAATCTCAAGACTTCACGATTTTTCTAGACGGGTCATCGAGCGGGAAGAAAAAAATAACAAGTCCTCTCAACTAAAGAATATACAAAATGGATCACACACGAGACCCATGTCCTTGGGTGGCCTTGAACGATTTCGGAGGAGCCTTTTGTATGGGTGTACGTACTTGCACCATTCTTTCTACTCTCCCGAGAAATACATCGAATTCCGCGGATTTCTCAAGTATAGATGTCATAAAAAAAGACATACTGATCAAGTTGTTTTCAGGCAATCGGAGGTGCAGTATGGCACGGTGTTAAAGGCTTTCGAAACTCACCTTATGGCGAAAGAAGGATTGGCGCACTCACAGCCATAAAGGCACGAGCTCCTGTACTAGGAGGAAACTTCGGTGTTTGGGGTGGGCTCTTCTCGACTTTCGATTGCGCTGTTAAAGGATTGAGGAAAAAGGAGGACCCTTATAATGCTAGTATGTTCTTCCGAAGATTTTAGCTTGGAACCTTCGCTGGCAGATTGTTGAGCGGGTGCATTGCAGCGATTCGAACGAAATACTGACACCGAGATAGTTATTGCTGGATTCTTTACTGGTGGTGCTTTAGCAATTCGTGGTGGTGCAAAAGCTGCAAGAAACTCAGCGATAGGATGTGCGGTTCTCTTGGGTGTTATTGAAGGTGTTGGAATTGGGTTCCAAAGAATGATGGCAGGGAATACGAAATTAGAGGTACACATTTTCTTTGCCCATTTCCGTCCATTCCCATATTAACTTTTAATAGCTACCTCCACCTCCCCCACCATCTGAATCCGGTCAAACCGGGTTCCCAGCTGTCGCATAATTTCTCTACTTCACATTGCTAAAATATAATACCTCATGTTGGTCGACCCCTCCAACAAATTACACAAACTCTACTCTTTCCGTCCAACCGATAGAAGGTTTTGGCCGCATGTATTTTCCTACATTATAATATCGTGTAGGACACCAGCACTTCATACTGGACTTGTTTGCATAGCTGGGGTTGGTGTATGTATATCTAGATTTGACCTTTTGGACCCTTTCCCAGACTTGAGGAAGGTTAAGGTTATGTTATCAAGCGTAACGAATGGAAATGAAGATAAAATTTCATGTGCCTCTAATTATGATTTTTTTGGCCGGGCTGTGTGCAAGTGATCCAGAATGATTTGTTTGGTTTAGCGGCCAACTCCTTATTGTTTAGCAAGCCAAAAATCTCATGTGTATATGTCTCTTGGTTTATGTAAGTGAAGGTTTCGTTTCGTGTTGAAAATTGTGACTATTGGAATTTTGATGACAACATTTATTTCATTTCCCATTGTACCGTATCTCCATCAGTCATATTAATCAATCCATCCTCACTCTTCTACACCGCTACCAATGAAAGTAATCAACTCTTCCAATTTACCATCTAAAGCTTGCGCTGCAGTCAATAATCCATTATTTCCTCTATCTATGGCACCAATTAAAGTACTAGGTACTTGCCACGTGATTTCCGTTCCCTCTTCACCTGATAATTGACGGACTAGAACCTCCACAGGTACAAATAATCCTGCGTCGAGAGATTTACTAGATTGAGAGAGCATCGTAAGAGCTATCAGTGGATTCCCGAGTATGATACGTTTTAGACCGAGCTGTGGATTGGAATTGATATTGAAGAGTGGGAGCCAGGAACCATGATTGAATTCCTTTTAATTGTCAGTCAGCGTCATTTCCTCTTCACAGGTATGTGTTGGTATCAACTTGGTTGATAAATATAAGTACTTAGTGCCATGGTGGTTGTATTGTTCTTCATCATTATTATCTATGGGAAGCTAGTACTAAATATAGGGAAGCGATAGCGCGACGCTAGCTAATACAGTGCCCTCTTGGATCACATGATCAATGTCCCGACAGTATGCTTTCAGGGTTTTCTTCGCCGTCACAAGCCAGTAGCAGCAGATAGAAACGATTGGGGCAAACATACACCAAAAATCATAAATCCTTGAGGTCCAACGGCCGCCTCAACTCCTTCAATGAATTTCTCCTTGTTGGTTTCGTCATATGATGTGATATTTGCGGCGATTGCTAGCCATTTTAAATCTGTAGGTTTCCCAATTGAAGCATAGAGATTGGACATAACAGTCTCAAATGCTAGAGAGGTGTGTGAAGTTTTCCGAGTTACAGAATAAGTAAAGAAAGTTATTGAACTTTTGTGAGCCATGATGGAAATAGGAATGAGACAAAAGAGAGTTCTAGATGAAGAGAGTTTTAAATGTTCAGAATCCAGATTTCGGAAGAGGACTGATTGAAACTTGGGTCGCTTTTAAGTTTCAGGGCATACTAGTAAGTTAAATACTAGTAGTAGTCACGATCACTATTCAAATGATTACTGATTGTATTTGTTGGTACAACTTAAGAAAGAGTCGCCTTTGAATGATATTCACTCATAGTGGAAAATAGCCTCTTTATTTATCTTTCATCAATGATATCCATTACAACAATCTCAAGAGTTCCTAGAAATGGGGCGTCAACCATGGTTCTCACGGAAAGAAGTACAGGATTTTGGTATCACGTGATATAGTTGATTACTTTACATTTCGCCAACCGAGGCTGATTGCATCCACCAGCTACTCACTCCCCGCTCTGAGTTGAAGGTTGATAAGCTGTTTATTGTGCTATAAAACTATCTAGACAATGCGCAAGATATGTATCTTCCAAATTATTGGCTCTCCCTTTTCAGCACCATGAACCATGCGCGGTGATATTGGAGGTCTATTTCCTAATAAAATTCCGAGTGATAATTGTAAAATCTTACATCTTGGTTGTTTTGAATCTATGTAGTCTGAACTAATTAATTGACTGCCAATCTAGCGTATATTTCTAGAACTCCCCTTAACCTAGTTCTACTCGAAAACCAGGCGGCGATACCATTTTCTTAACAATTACTGATCCATTCCATCCAACTCTACTAGCTTCAATACAACTTCCACTACCTCATTCCCGGACAAATCCATTCCAGGCTCATCAATCTTCTTTGCCAAAACATCATCCAACATTCCTCTCAATCTACTGACTAAAACACCGATACGTGCCCAACCCCTCAGTCGTAACCAACCATCTACCAAAAGACCTCTACCCAATGTATCTAATGTGATTGGTCCAGAGAATAAAAGTGCCGTATATGCGTTAAAAGGTGTAAGATCTCTAATAAATACTTTACTCGTCGCCATCTTATTGAAATAACTCATATATTTGCTGTTACCAGGGAATGTTTGTGCATCAAAGATTGTACTACTTGGATGAACAAAAACACGTCCGTTTTCTTGATTGAAATATTTGATTGTCTTTGCTTCCGGATCCAATTCCACAGCACCAGAGACAGAGGCCGCAAATTTTTTATCTGGGAAATCGATACGTGCAAGTTGAGGATTAAAAGCTCCTGCGCAAAGGGATCGAATGAGAGCATTGTTTGATGATTTAGCCGATAAAGCTGGAGGAAGAATAGATGATGATGGGATGAAACCTATTTCACGTAGTGACGTAAGATATTGAGTTCGATTTGAGGATATATCATTGAGTGTTTGATATGAGAGGAAATTATCGTTGCACCAATTTCGAATTTCTCCTTGTCGATAACTATTGAAAATTAGTGTCAAATATTGATATCGGGATTAGAATAACATACTTTCTATTGTTAATCATCTCGAACCATTCTTCGAAAGCTCGGAGATCGCCAATTAAATCACCCTGATTCTTAGCGAACTTTGCCCTTGCAGATTTCGACTCTTCCCTTCTATCCTGCGGTGATACAAAAGGCGATTTGACGGTCAAGATAGCTGCGATTGTGACAGCAGCATCCAAACAACCAAACATAGCTCCGTAAACCATTAGTTTACCGCAACGAAGGTC